GGTTCTAACCGCAGACTTTGAAGGACGCGCATAGTGGTGAAAAAGCAATGCCTCAGTAGAGTGAAAGGAGGTTTCACTCCCATTATGCAATTCACTTGTTGACAGTGGAAATTAAGAGAAGTTCCGCCAATTTTCCTTTCGTGACATTCATTCATCTTTCAAAAATGGGAAAAATATTTTACTCAACCACTCTTGGCAATCCTATAGTAAGAAGAACTTGCCTTTCTCGTGTGATTAGACGTTGTTATTCAAATTAACTCGTAGTAAACGGTCAAAATGAGATCAATTTAGTTATTTTGCGAAATGCTAAGCAATAAATAAGAGAACGCATATATGCAAATTGAATGTATTGGAGATAAAGATGGGTAGAACTCAGAAATTTAAGTACCGGGGTTTCACAAAAAATCCGCCCAGGACGGTTAAAGGGAAAATCCCTTTTCATGGAACTATTTTAGAACCAAATAACCGCCCACCCGAATAAGCCCTCATTGGCGATAATACAGAAGTATAATATTTCACGGGCGCTTAATCAGATGAGCGAACTTTTTGGAAAACCCCGGTAATCTTCTTCAATTCAATATAATCTCGATTGAAGACTTATTTTAAACTTCTTGAAGTATACAAATGCAAGAGGTTTCGTTTTTTAAATGAACTGGGCCGATACAAACACCTAGATTTTCAGTATGAAAAAAATAATGCGTAGAGGAGAATAAAAACAAATTAGTACACACCCCCTCCTAATGACAACAAATTCAATGAATATGATCAAATGAATGCTCATCGAGACCAAACATCCACCCAGACTGTGGTGCTTTTGCGAGAACACTGACTGCAAGGAATATGTCATCGATAGCCTAGGTATTGGCCTATTTGAATTTTATTAAACGCTGCCTAATTTTTAAAACCACAGGAACTACTTTAGTTGCAATTAGTAACTCGATCTGATATGCACCCAGTGATTCAAATAATCGCGCTAATGGAGGAGCAAGAGGTGCCAAATTTGGGAAGAGGTAAGTTGTTATCTCATTATTTTTACGATTTATGAACGCCACTGTAACATGATAGAAGTGAAAACCAAAATATTGGCATTAAATGAAGACACAAAGCAGGTTTTACTGAATCTGTTATTAAGCAGCAGAGTTAAATTAGGGAAGCGATTGTGCGATAAGGAGAGAACATTGATAAATAGACGATCATGCAAAGACCGAGGTGAAAGAGGTAGAAATTATGTTAAATCGATAATTGAATAAAGATAACTAGTAAATATATTGAGGAAATACTGTCACTATAGCGGCTTACAGAAATATACCTAAAATCGGTTAAGTGGTGCGGATTAAGCCAAATAGATAGCTTTCAATGGACGAATCGTAAGAATAAAAGTTTTATATAACCTCTGTGAAAAATGATGCCAATTCCCAGCCCCCCCCTCTCTCCCCCCCAATAGTTCTGAAGCGCCTAAACAAATGTGGAAATGCACATATCACGCTATATGAATTTTGCAATTTTTCAGAAAATAAAGAGAACCAAGACCATGCGAGACAATTTTCTGTTTGTGAGGACAAAAAATGGTAGTTGAAAAGGGGAGGGGATGGTGGTGGGGTATTGCACGTTCGATTTAACCCCAGTAGATGCGCATGCCACATTCCATTTGCTTGAAGAGAGCGCGCTCGAAAAGGAATGATTGTTGGCAAACTTAAGTTGCTGTTGGTTGTTTAAATTTTACTTCCACTGAGTCGGTTGAAAGCACATGTCTCCGACCTCTAAATAAGTAATTCCTTGCTTATGAGCAAACCAACAGCAATGGTTCAAATCAGGATTTAAAAGTTGATCTAATTCAAGATTCAAATTTGAAGGAAGATAGACTGACAACGCAGACATCTTGATCAACAGCTTTCCAGAATAAAATGAATAATACACACTTAGCTAAGTTCAAGGTAATTTGCATAGTTTGCGAAAGGGGGACCTAACCTTGAGGGAAATATTCTCCTATGGAATTAAGTTTACTGAAAATAATAGTCTAACAGATTCGAATTACCCGGTGCAGAGCTATAAACACGAATAAAAGCGTTGTTTGAAACAACAAACCTTTTACACATTATTAATTTAAGGGGGAATAGAAACAACAAAGTCGAAGCTGAATAGCTGAGGAAAATTTTTGAGGAGAAACTTAAGATTATTTTATCGCACTTTTTAGTCTGATGGTGCACTATCAAAGGTGCTTCATTTTCCAGTTATGCCGTTTGGGCAAAAGGAAAGAAATAATCGGAATAGTCACTAAAATGCAAAATAAATGAAAACGGCGAATCAATGTGTATAAATTGCAGAGATGGCTTAAGCAGTTCATTCGCATTTGCAATCTAGCGATCCCGCGGTATTCTTTGTGACTTCATCGAAAGCTTTCACAGATAAAGGAGCATGTGATAAACATTCGTATTCATTATTTTGTCTTTTTGCCTTGACTGTGCCCATATTTCCTAGCTGATTCCTAAATAAAGGAAATTCTAACCGCTTATCAATATTTCTTTTATACATGATCAAGTTGAATAATGATCAGTAACTAAAGGCATACCTGCACCACTCATTGACCTGCCCGTATTGCCTCATACCACTGTCCTAAATGCTAGATGAAAACCGATCAACGACCTTGTTGTACCTCAGTTCTCCTTTTCCTCACAATCCGGATTGTGTGGGTGCAGTTCTGAGGCTTCTTTCATTGCTCCCAATTCCGCTTCCAACTCCTTCCTGCTTTACCCTTTAATTCAACCCAACTCTTCGTCTTGTCATTCGATAGAGACTAGTTTTACTCTTAGCCATAGCAAGATTATTAGGTTAAGTAGTGGTTTCTATCCTAATTTAGTCTAGCACCCGTAGTAGCTTTGTCGGGATTGGATTTATTTTAAATCTTATCCAGGGTTTCGTAAGTAAGTTGACAATAATAGTTTCGATGCATCTGAAAAAATTTTGTAGGTTCTCTGTTTAATGCCCTGACTAGCCAATTATTTAGTTATTGTGATTTTGAAAGCAATTAATTCACACAATACCGAAACCACTGCCTAATTGACAGCTAACTATCCAGCCACATCAGGGCCAAAATTTTCCAAACAACATATTATAATCGAACTAAAGGCCTTCCTTGTTCTTCCCGTTTATCCAACTTAATTCTAGTCAGCCTCTGCAATATGGTAGCCATAGGCAAGCCTGTGTCGAAAGCGACAACTCTATGTAAAGTAAAAAAAATCGTGGGTTCGCAACAGACAAATAGAATAACCAGTTAACTGATTAGAATTAGCCAATATTTTATGGTTTGATGACTAGGTATACGATTTTTTTCACAGTCGTCGCGTCACTGAGCTGCCTTAATAACTATATGCAAATGGGAGAACTGGTTATAATGTCAATAAAGCTACCTTTTTTCCACAAAATTTCAGTTTTAATTAAACAAAAAATGGACAGCCAACTAGAATAAATGACAAAGCAAAAGTTGATAAGCTCTCATTAGGTGTCAAATTTTTTCATCATATGTTCCTATTTTAGATTAAATGATGATGATGATTAATCAACTCTTCAGTGGAGCATACGAATAGAAAAAAACATGCACTAACAGAACAAATGTTGATGCGCATTAACTAACAACTCACTTATTCATTTCCTCGAATGTCAAAGGAATTAGAGCCTGCTGGAGAGGTGTGCAAATATAAAAATATACCGATGTAAACGTCGTTGCTTCTAAGCAAATGATAACTATCTCAAACAGCAAATAAGTTAGGCTCCAATGGAGCTTTCTGTTCTCATTTACTTTAAGCCATAGGGGTCTTTATAACAAAGACGCCAAGGATAAAAGAATTTTTAGCAATATTAAGCTTGGAAAGGGGATATTTAAATCAATGAGTATACACCGATGAATATCCATCCTGCAACAGTTGATTTGGTAGAGGAAGTGGTTGAGAACTAAGCCACTGAAATTGATAACTACTCGAGTTTTAAATATTTTTGACATTATCTTCAAAATTCATCCTCATTTGGCATCTTTCCCTTTTTATTGGATAGATAAACCGATAATATCTAAGTGGCATAGAGAGGGAGCAAAGGCGAAAAAAGTGGAAAATATTCGACTAAAATTAAAATTGGCAAAAGTGCTTGAGAAATAAAATTGACAAGAAGAAAGGGAAACTTGTGAGAAAATTTTTCCATTAAAAATAAATGACCAATTAGTCAAATCCACAAAATTGATGGATCACGTATCACAAGGCAGTTGAATAGGAAAAAAATTGCTAGCTCGTTTCATGAATTATGCTCACGGCGATTTTTATAAAGAAAGAATAAGAATTGCCTTGTCATTCGAGACGATAACGTACATAAGTAACTTATAGCTTATAACTTACGTGACTAACTCGTCTTCACAAATAGGTACAAATAAAGTGAGAGAACTAATTAACTCTGACTGATTCATTGCTTTAAGGTAATAGCTTAAATAGGATAACACCTTTTATTCCAAAAAAATATCATTATGACTAAAAATATTCTTCAAAATAAGACTATTATTATGAGTCGTCACGGATACAAAATTAAACAGACCATTATAATCAAAACGCTGCCCATACTAATTTTTCTAATTGTAGAAGGAGAAATACCTACTGATCAAGCTACGCTAATTGCGTTTAGAGCATCAAAAAAAAACGTTCGATTCCACCTTTGATCAGTGTGCGCTAAATCCCATGAGTAAACAAAACAATTGAATATAATTTGTGCGTTCATCGAAAGAGATCCAAGTCTATTGTGGTAGCTGCACTTATTAATTATGGTAGATGAGAGCTTTTGTTAATTCGCTCCTATGAGAAAATCGCATTAATCTCCCCCCCCCCATATGACCATAATTATCCACAATTTTTCAAGTACTCAATCTCGACAGAGAAATTACATTCCCGAGTCTATTTCTCAATTACAAATTCGATCAGTCACAACGAAGGCATCTGACCTCTTGATCGCGTTCAGCAAATAAGCGCATAAATCTGAAATGTCAAATATTTACTACATCTAACATAGAAAATAGATTTCTTAGGGCTGCCAAAAACAAAACACTGGCCGCGTATACTTACGACTCAATAACAACATCAACGTATTACGGAAAGCAATAATAAAATGTGTTTGGGCCATCGAGTATTCCTCAGCAAGCGGTTAAAAAATAATAACATTCTGCGTCACAGTATTGTTTACTTGAGAAATAAAGATTACTTATCTTCCGCTTTGTTTCCAGTAATTGCCAAGCCATCAGAATGGTCTCATGAACAGACAAAAATGAGTTTTCATCTCTGAGGTGTTTGGTTAATCAGATATGTATTTAAATTAAATCATTATTGACATCATAGCCAGATCTCAAAAAGTCACCGAGAATTTAAAATAAATGTCACGGTTATATCAATCTCAAGAAAATTTAAAACTCAGAAACTAAAACTATACAAAGTAAATCTGATTAAGAAATGAATAGTTAAATCCAATTTATTTAAGCAGGGATTGATGGCAAAAAATAGCTTTAGAAACGTCAAATAACTAGGTTTAAATAGCGCTTATACATAAAATCCATGATATGACAATATGAGTTAAAAAAAATTCTTAGACCAATCTGGCAGGACAAACAGGAGATAGAACAAAGTAGGAAACCGAATATACATAAATAAAATTACCTATTTAACAAAAATAATCGAACGCATGATGAATGTTGGTACTTTATAGCATCTTGATTTATCCTAATCAGATAAATAAATACCAAGCAAATCGAAAAATGCAGATGAGCGGCTGATTCAAATAAAAAGGTTACTTATTGTAATAAAGTAGAGAAAATTCTAACCTTCGATATCTGAAATATCCGAAGAACTACGAAGGTTCCATCAGCATCCACAATAAGGAGATTTAATGGGAGTTCGCTATCACTAGGTAAAGATGTAACAACGCCACCGCAACACACCACTCCTTTATTCGAACCCTCACTCAATTCGTCAAAACTGCACTCCCGAAGATTTTGAAAGGGTCCAAGATGCCGGGTTTTTGATTTGGGTGCAGATAATGTGGAAATCAAAGTCGCAACACGTTTACGAGTAATCTTATCAAGAGATTGCAGTGGTGTAGAAACAGCGGTGTGCATTTTTTGAAGAGCTTTGAGGCAACGCATAGCCGCAATACGAGGAGCTGGCCAAGCCGGGTCAAGCAGAGAAGCACGAAACCAACTAGAGAGAGCATCATTAAAATTATCCACATAATTCAAGGCGCCAGCCCGATTGAAATGAAAGTGCGGCTGAGAAACCACGTCAGAATATTTAGCTGCTTGGGCGAAAGCCGCCAGTGATCGAGAGATCACACCACCACCCGAACTATCCCCTAGCGAAGCTGTGAAGAGAGCATTGCCCAAACACTCCCAAGCCCGACCTAAACTAGCTTTCGCTGCTCGAACAGCAGCATGAGCCAATCGAAGAGAAGTTGCAACTGTAGCGTCGACATCATCACCTTGGTAAATGAGATCGGGAAATTCTGAATTTGAGAGGAATTCACATAGTGATGGGGAATCTTTTGGCAATTGTCGCAATAGCATTGACAGCCGCCAAAGGATATGTGGATTTTGACTCTGTAAAATAAAAGTCAGATAAATGCAGTAAGTGATATATATATACACATCAAATGGGAGCTTACGTCAATTTTTAGGGCTTTTTTAAGGGAGTTAAGAGCAGCTTCTGGTCCAACTGTCAACCACTCAAACTCACCCATCTCGCAACATGCATCAGCTAATTCAGGGTCAAGCTCTAGAGCTCTTTCAAGGGTCACTTTGACCTCAGATGTATCCTGCGTAAGCGTCGCAATAACATTAAGAGCTTTCCCTTTTAAAAGTAAAATCTGCGCTTTCTGCATTGGAGTGAGGTTAGACGTAGTTAGAGCCTTCGTGGCAAGTTCTACTATATGACTGATACGTTCTGACAGCTTTTCGGGTTTCTCTTCAGTTGATCTAACCACCTCTTGAATAAGAGAATTAAAATCGTAACCAGGTGGGAAGGCAACAACGGGATCTGTCATCAGAAGTTCAGTAGTCAGCTGAGTAGTCTCTGGTATCCAAGTGTCCCTTAATAGCAGTAATGCATCAACAGCAATCCGTAGTTCCTCCATTTCTAAATTAAATAATTAGATTAAATAAATAACCACCAGAGGAACAGGAAAAAGACAGGTTAAAAAAATAATCTATTTATTCTGTTGGCAAAGTACGAATATGTTCAGAAACGCGGGAACTCCAGATTTGAATGAGGCGACTGTGCTCCTTCTTGAGATTTTCAAAGGTTTTCTGCAGTATGGTCAGATTATTTCCAGCTCGATCAAGCAAGGAAAGATCATCTTTGGAAAAGAGAGGAGTAACAAGAACCGCAAGATCGAGAGAATGCTCAAGTGTGGTTATTCCTATTTCTAAAGAGTACTCTAAATCAGCACAACGTGTCAAGCAGGCAGTCCATTGGTTTCGAATTGATGTTAGCTCGTCTTGAAGGTAAGCGTTTCCTGGGTCCGTAGCAATTATTTGAAGGATATGGTGCTGATCTAAATCAAGTTGTGTTAAAGTGGCAATCTGACTTTCCAAGTCAAGAATAAGTTGAGAAACAAGGGAAATTGTGGCATCCAGTTGCAGTCCAGTAAGTGTAAGTACAGGAGAAATCTGAAATAGGCTTGATTGCATAATAGTCTCCTCCTTCTTTGCAGTTTCACAGATTACAGGAAGAAAAATTGCAGGCGTGAAAGATAGATAGTTACATCGAGAGATTTTTCTGAAGAATCGCAAGAATCTAGGGAGGCGAAATTGTGCCTGAACATGCGAAAATAAATTCACATAACAGTTTATAATATTAGCGCACTCAGTCCATTACTTAGCGTATAATATTCATTCAATGAAAAGGACGCTAAACAATATTACAAAGTGAAATTTATAAACCAAATGAAATAAAGCTATAAAGGTAAAATTATTAAACCAACAAACACGAAAGGACATCGAGTTCAAAGAAATGCCATTAATCAACCAATTAGTAACCCCCTTTCAGCTTATTATTTATTGGCAAGGCAACATGTTTCTGGAGTTAGTTTAATCTTATTTAATGACTAAGAATAATTCATTTATCACTGCTTGTTTTTAATCTTAAATTAAATTTCTGAAAAATCGATGGTTGCACTTTAAAAATATTTGTGAATGAAAAGATAGATATGAGTGATCAAGTGTCCTCTCTCAAGCCTTAACACTTGGCAATCATCGTTCACGATTTTGGTTCATTGATAATCTGAAATAATCTTCTAATTGAAGGTAATTTTAAGCAATGCGAGGGTACTTCATATGTAAAACATATTCATTTTAAACTTTTGAGATTACTCGTATTACGAGTTTTAACAAAGATTTCAGGCAAATATTTACCATTCACGCATTTATTGCTTTAAACTTATCCTAGCATCCAAACTGATATTTTAATCCCCACTGATAAACTAGCTACATCTGTCCTCTACGCCCGGCCTTACACTTTTAACACACTGAAGATATAATTCACAACTAGTTAGTAATCCATGTGTAAAATGTCAGCGTAAACTTATGGTTAGGAATCCTTTCCGGAGTTTATTTTAACTCGGTAATTGTTAAGTAATAAATTACACCATTTCATAAAGCCATTTTTCATTCATTAATTGTGTATTTCTCACCGATAGCAATTATGGGCTAATGTGCATAAAATGCTATTTATGTCAGGGGAGCTAATTTATTTATTTGGTCTCCTTAACAATTTAACTGCTGCCTTTTAATGTATAACATAAGAAAGGGAAAACCATTCTGCTAGGCACGGGCCAACCCATATCTTTCCACACAATGAAGGCCATAATCAGGAGAGAATTCAAGGATTCACAGTGCAACGAACTTAAGGCTCGAACAAAGGAGAAACAGTGGACAGTATCACTCTCTGACATAGCCAACTGGTCAAGAATCGAAGCCATTGCTGAGTTTAGACTACGTACCGAAAACGATTGCTTGGCAAAACACCTTCACAGATTAGGTGCATGCACTCACTCAACATTCCCTCTATGTAGTCTACAGGAGGAAATGGGAAAGACCCATCTGATTTGGTGCCCAGCCCTAAATACAACGACGGCAACCCAGAGGTACTGGGAAGCCAGAAGACAACTAATGAACTGGGGAAACCTGAGGTCAACCAAGGGGTTAATGAAAAATATCATAAAGCCTGTCATTTGAAGTAATAAAGTATAACATGATTTTCAGTTAACAATTCTTAGGTCCTATATTTTTCCTTTTCCTTCAATTCTCTTAGGCTACTTGTAATTGGTGCTGAACCTTATTAGCCTCAAAGAAGAGCTCGACCAAGATCATTTTCAAGCCTGATTTTATCAGGATCATTAAATTAGTTTAAATTATTTATTGGGCTTATTGTAATTGGCACATACGATTCTACTAGAAATTAATCCATTTATACTTCTATATTAGCTATGTTTTAAAACAGATTGGTGTCTACGGTCCACAAACTATTACAGAAGTAGAAACGATCATGACAATACTTGCTAAAATATATTTTGCACGTTTATTCATATTCACCGTCACTTTCAAACAACTTGAAAATATTATGATGATAAATAATATCTTCAACCTAGTGTATTTCACGACTTCGTTTCAAGTAGTTCATCTGCCGATTACTATTCGAATCAATTTTGCCATTTAGAACTGTTGAGCGAGAAAATCAAAGGGTTCAAACTGACTGAACAAAGTTTAGAAAAAAGGAAGAGGACAAAGTAAATGAGAAATTGCAAAATTAAATCAAAGGTGTTTGCCATTTCTAATTAAGAAAGACATTTTATAATGATAATTTTGTAATTATTTAGAACCTGAGATTAGATATTTTGTTCATAGAAGCCATTATGCCTAGAGTATCAAAAATTTACTAACATCGATTCCTTTTAGACGTGTTTTGGGCAAAAAATATACGACAAGAAAAAGTTGAAACAGATGGTTTCAAATTTCAAATGAATTGTGCAATAGAGTGATAATTTTATCAATAAATGATGATCTAAAGACACTGAAAACGGATAGAGTCGAAGCGCAAAGAGCTAGGAATTATATTATATGAAATGGCCATGTTATCAACATTAAGAATTATCGGATTCTGGAATAATTAGAAATTAATAGGATTAAGTTGGTATAATTTTGTAAATATCACATACACGGATAAGTGCCATTAACTTTGTAAGCTAACTAATTAGTTTATAAAAGTAGCATTTCAAAAACCAAATCATTATTTTCAATTGATTAAATTACTTTTTAGATATTAACTTCATTATATAATGAAAAATTATAATGCAAAATATGATACCAATAAATACTTCTGTACTCTGAATAGAATAAGACCAAGATAGTTTATCTCCTACGTTATTAAAAAATATCTGCTGAAAACATTTCTAGTTAAGGTTTTAAAATTTAGCTGAGAAATTCTGAGTAAGAAAGTAAAATATTTGAGCAATAAACAAAGCAAGCCCAAATAATTTAACTTCCAAAATTCATTTTAATTTTAAATAAATTATGATAAAAATGACTTTTTAACTCAGATTATTTACCAAGTTTGAAAAATCAAGGTGCATTTAAATTTATTTAGTATCGAGCGCACTTTGTAAAATTCCGCAACAGCTTCTAGCTGCTTTTAGATATCTGTAGTTATTTTTAAACTCGTAATTTTGATCACTAAAATGCCGCGAATTAATATTAAAGGGGGTGTTTGGAGGAACACCGAAGATGAAATTCTCAAGGCAGCTGTTATGAAATATGGGAAAAATCAATGGGCCCGTATTGCATCTCTCTTACACAGAAAATCAGATAAGCAATGTAAAGCTCGTTGGTATGAGTGGCTTGATCCTAGCGTAAAAAAAACTGAATGGAGCCGCGAAGAAGATGAAAAGCTTCTTCACTTGGCAAAACTAATGCCCACTCAGTGGCGCACAATTGCACCTATCGTCGGGCGTACTGCCAACCAATGTTTGGAGCGGTATGAGTACCTTCTCGACAAAGCACAAAACATTGATATGAGTTCTCGTGATGATCCACGTCGTTTGAGACCGGGAGAAATTGATCCAACTCCTGAAACTAAACCAGCCCGCCCTGATCCAGTTGACATGGATGAAGATGAACTTGAAATGCTTTCTGAAGCCAGAGCTCGTTTAGCAAACACACAAGGCAAAAAAGCCAAACGAAAGGCTCGTGAGCGTCAGCTTGAAATTGCTCGTCGAATGGCTATGATGCAGAAACGTCGTGAGTTGCGTGCTGCCGGCTTGGCCTCCACAATCGCTCCTTTGGTTAACAAGCACCAATTCATTGATTATAATCGCGAAATTCCCTTTCAAAAACAACCTCCTAAAGGTTTCCATGACACATCAAAGGAGGTTCCTGAGCCCAAACCAATCAATTTCGATCGTCTTCGTTTGGGCGATATTGAGAAAGAACCTTTCATGGAGAGGGAAAAGGTGTGAGAATTCGTTTGTATTGCAATTTTTGTTTATATTTATTAGATCTTAACTCATTGTCTCTATTTAGCGTGAGAGGAAGAAGGATGCTGAAAAGCAGAAAAAGCGTTTGGAATCAGATTTGCCCGCTGCTTTGCTTGCTCGTGAAAAAGATAATGGCGAACCAGCGATCAAACGATCCAAGTTGGTTTTGCCGGCACCTCAAATCTCAGATCAAGAGTTGGAGAATCTTGTGAAAATGGGTCAAGCTGGAGAGAATGCTATTCGAATGGCACTAGAAGATTCTCGTCCCGATGCTACTGCTACACAGACTCTTCTTTCGGAGTATGGTAAAGGAGCTGAGTCAAGTTTTGCCACTCCTCTTCATTTGATTGCCAAAACACCACTAGTTCAATCAGATTCCATTATCCAGGTTAGCTCTATTATTGTCTTCGTTCATAAATCATTTTTTGATTTTATCTTCTAAAGCACACTCTTAAATTTCTTATTTTGATTTTGCTTATGAACCCTAAGTATTGTCAAAATGTTGGAATCAATTTTTTAGTTGCTGAAAAGTGTTTATCCATGAATGTGCTTGCTCCCTAACTGGCCTGCTAGATTTGTTTTCATTTTTTATTGATTGTGGTGGTTATTTCTTTGTCCAGATTGTTTGTCGTAGTTTATTAGGCCGAAGCAATTAGTAAAGCATTTATTTTTGTCTTAATGTGAGTGTATATTTTCTTCATTGACAAAACATGTATTATTATCTTTAATTTGTTGGAAAATTTCATTTTACTTTTATTGTATCTTAAAAGGCATTTGAATAAACCAATGTAATCATTAGGCCGTTGCAATGCGAATATTTGTCCGCCTGGAATGAATATTAAAGCGTTGTTCATTCACAATGAGACTTACTGTATACTGTGGGTTCAATTCATAGAGTTCATTTGCCCCTTTTCTTACCTATGAATGCCTTATCTGCTAAATTACCGTCTTATTCCACGAAGTAAAGATATGTCCTCTATAGAAATATTAGTTTGGCATTATTACACTTGGCCACTCTCTAGACTTTCATTCATTCAAGGTTTTTAACGACCACTCTGTCCGTAAGGGCGAGTTTTAGCTTCTAAGTTCTAATATTAATCGGTTTGTTGTATTCCCCATCTCTAACGTGCACATGTGGTATTGGTGCTTATACACTTCTAAGTAACTATAGTTATTCTACGGAATGCATTCACCAGGTATAAGATTTTGATAGTGAAAACATACTTTTCAGTTAAAATGAGCTTGATTTGAGAAGTGTATATTCTGTTATTTTACTTTAGGAGGCACAGAACATATTAGCTCTACACCATGTTCAAACACCTCTGAAGGGAGGTGAGAATACGGAGTTATCGACTGGTGTAGTCAACATTGTCGGGGCTACTCCACAGGCTCGTCATCTACCTACGCCCAATATTCTCCTGCCCAGCCAACTCGCTGCTAATACTCCTTTTAGAACTCCTCAAGTCGGAGGTAAGTGTCTATTCTGCCGTTGTTTTTGTTTGCTCTAATGTTTTGCATCCTAATCATGATCTAGCACTATAAATTTTAAAATAATGCTGGTTCGCCTTTCTCGAGTTAATTGGGCTTAAACGTAGATTTGGGCCCATAAAACCGAGTCGGGTTGTCTTGTGTAATTCATAGCAGTCATACGGTTCTGATCTTCGCAAGAGGGGGGAAAATATCTTTGCCTGTCAATATTTGAAGAGTATTTTCAATAGAGGGCTCAATGTGTCTAAGTTAACTCATTAACATTATTTTATGACTAAGTGGGATAATTCGATGCTATAGCACCTGCTTCAAACTATTCCCATTTGTGGTGTCCATCTTGCCTTATTTGATGGCAAATGTATAACATTTCGATGTTTCATCAGTTAAATCAGAGTTGTTAGGCGTTAAAAACGAGTTTACCACTTATCCAATGATTCACGCTTGCTCATGGTACGACTGGTGCATAATTATGATTTCGCAACTTGCGGTCTTCTTAGTGGAACTTTTCACAACTAAAGATCCTTTTTTAATACTAGTGGAATTTAGTAAAAGCCATTTTGGGTTGTTAATCTCTTGAATTACTTTAAATAAGCTTATAATCCTAGATTTCCCGTTTGCCAAATTATCATATTGACGTGGCTTTTTTATTTTTAGCAACCCCTGGTCCTAGTGAGCCATTAGTGGGCCAAACGCCGCGTCGAGACTTCCTCAATATCAATGAAGGGGACTACATGGAGGTTAGTTCACACCTCTCATGTTTTTTTGCTTTCCTTGTACAGTGTAGTATTTTTAATACCTATCTTAATAATAACTCCTTTCCATTTGCAGCATCCTCAAGCAATGAATGCAGCGAGCCTTCACACAAAGCTTGCAAAGCTGCCTCAACCTAAGAATAATTTTGAGATCAGTATGCCAGATAGTGAGGAGGCTGAATCAGTCCTCTCGGAACAAGTTGAGGGTTCAGAAGGTACTTCAGCCCACATCGCAGATCAAGCCGAACTCGACAGAGAAGCTGCTCAAGCCCGCGCGGCGGCAGCTGATGCTGCGTGGGCGAAACGCAGTCAAGCTCTTCAACGCAGTCTTCCTCGTCCCACAGTGGTCAATGACAGTGTACTCAGACCCCCTACTGAAGAGCCTGGTCTTACTGACCTTCAAAAAGCTGAGGAGTTGATTAAACAAGAGATGCTCACCATGCTACATTATGATAGTTTACACAATCCACCACATACTCTGTTGAATGATTTGTCAAGAAATGCCGAAGGAAAACTGTTGAGTGCTACAGCTCAACAGAAGAAACTGCAACAGCTGAATGCAACTCACGAAGTGTTTTTGAGGAATAATGAATATGAGGAGTTCGATGACGAGATTTTGTCCGCGGTAAGGTTTATTTATATCAAATGGTTATCAATCGCCCTTTAGTTGACTTCAGGCTTCACAGAGGGGAAGGAACATCCAAGTGAAAAAAAGTCGAGAGGAGGGGAACTGAAGAGTGTTTCAAAGACGAAGTTTGAAAATTTAGAAAAATGTGATGTAGTACTGTGGAAGTGGTTGTATATGTCATACAGTGGGGTCATGGTAGTTTGAAGTCAACTGCCGGTTGATAGACTTTTTTGCCGTATGAGTATACGTTGCCCAGGGTACACCACGTGGAGGTAAGTCTGTCGCACACCCCATCTGCGGTAAGGTTGATTCTTGTCTAGCTGAAGTGAATTTTGGGTGATAAATATAGATTATGTCCGCGGAAACGTGCCTTCCACAGACCATCATTTTCTGTTACTGATTAACGTGAGCAATATTCCGGAAGAGATATTACGGTCCTCCTACTATTTTTAGTGAGGTTGTGAATAATCTTGTGGATGAGGTCTTAGTCACTGTTCGTCGAGATTCATTGTGGTTGCAATACTGTGGTATTATCTATTAGTGTTCACGATTTCTATTTATAATATGCTTCATTGTCGTAGAAATTAGTATTTTTCTTGATCTATTTAGCGTATTTTGACTTAAAGTTCATCTTTTCTATTTGCGGAACTCAAATGAACCTATCAAATTTCTACTTTTCATCCATATTCTTGATAATCATATTTCCTCTTTGGTTAAAGCGAATACTGAATGCCATTTGAGATTGCCATTCTTTGTCACCCTTTAGGCCGCAAATGCGATAAAAGAAGAGGAGAGTGTTGTTCGAGCAGGAATGGGACATGGCGACGTATCGGGTGAGGCCTACGCCAAAGTTTGGGAGGAATGCCTCTCCCAAGTCCTCCATTTACCTCAACACCATCGCTTCACCCGTGCTAACTTGGTGCCCAAGCAGGAACGTATCAATGCCGCAGAAAAGCGTCTTGAGGTACTGCGTGGGCTCATGGCTGATGAGGCTAAGAAAGCTGCCAGACAGGAGAAGAAATTGGCTATTCTTCTTGGTGGTTATCAAGTAAGTGGCGATACGGAGCTCTTCTACGCACCTTTTTCTCATCATCACTATTTCTTCAATGTGTGTTTGTTTTCTATTTACGTGTAAGTTATTCTTTAAATACTTTTTTTTCCCAATCTTATAGGATAGCTTCTATGAGAGATTTGCCATTTCTTATTCTTTCAAAATATCTTTTATAGGATGCGTTTCCTCAGTTTTTTAATGCATTATCAATTTTTTGCAGATTGATTTGATAGGTTTAGAGATGCTTTTATTAGGGCAAACACTTAATACAAACAAATTCTCCTTATATCAATCTAACCATGATATGCTATTTTTGGTATAACTATTTCTTTGCGTAGTCCTTGAACTGAACGCCATTGCATTTTGAAGCGACAATTATTATTTTATGCCATCAAAATATGCTTGATAAATAAAGTAGTTTGGGAGTTTTTCTAAATTTAGACTTGCTGTGTCCTTAAAATTACTTTACAACTGATTCCCTTCAGATCGTAGAATGCCGCTTTTAAAGGAATGTCAAGATCGCATTGTATTTAGAGGTGTTCGTCTTTTACCGTTGTGTAGTATTTGATATCAAATTGGGTCTTTTAAGATCCTTTTCTAAAAATGGTCAAATGAGCTCGTCAAGTTGAATGCTTTTTTATAACGCATGCTAAATGAATCTGAAATTTCAGGGTTTTTTCCCAGAATTTTCACCTCGGCAGTGGTTGATATCTCGTTACCTGAACACAATGGTTGTAAATGTCCAAATTTATCGACATATTTGATGTTCCCCTTTTGTGAGTTTTATGTCAGAAGACATTCAATAGCTCGAACAGTAAAACAGTCGGTTCCTTTAGATATTGAGCTTACCAAATAGCTAAAAAGCTTTGCATCTAATTTCCTACAGAACCGTGCACAAACCCTCACTAAAGCTATCCAAGAGTCTGTTGAACAGATTGAACAAAGCCAAATCGAGTTCTCTTCACTAGAATATCTTCGACAGCAAGAAATTGGTGCTATCGTTCGACGAACTGATGTAAGTACTTGAAGTGATGTTTACTTTGTGCACATCGGAGGGTTAATATTTGATTTTCTGCTTATCACCTAGACCTTAGAAGTTGATGTTGAGCGCCAAAGAAATCGCGAGGCTGAATTGCAGAAGATGTATGGTAAACTCGCCCGTCTAAAGGAGGATCTAATCTCCAAGAGGGAGGAAATCAATCAAAATGCCGCCACCCCTCCCCTTTTGCCAACACCAAGAGAATCTAATACCATCAATGAAGAGTGAGTGTTACTATACGTCCTTCTTATTACTGACTCTATGTAAGTAGCATTTCTATTTTCTTCTGATCACTTTTAGCGATACGGGTGGTTGGACTACTGTTCGGGCTGCAGAAGATGAGATTGTTGAATCAATGAATTCAGGAGCACAAACAGATCCGATGGAGACAAACGTAATTCATCCTATTGAACGTGGTGTGGATTTAGACGCGGATTCTTAAGTTGTTCGGGCTTTGTATGTGTTGATTATTTTACAGACCCTCTCCAACAAATGTTTTGTAGTAAAATTAAAGAAATGCGAATTTTTTTTGCTATTGTGTTATGCTTATGAAAAGTGGGAGTGGGATTATCTTAATGATGGCTGGCAGGTATTAGCTGGTAACTTGATTTTATTTACAAAGCCAAAAGTCCAGAAAAGGGTTAGGAAGAAGTCGCTCCAATTTATTGACAATTTTTTAAACCTTGTAGTGTGTATTTAATGAGTTAATGCTCATGATGATGATATCCGCGTGGAAATCGCCCATTTTAGATAAGAGTTCCCGCCAATCAATTAGAGGGAGAATTTACTATTCAATCATCTCCTTACTGTCTGTTTTATTCTCCTCAATCAGATAGAGCTCGCTGACTGGCGTTAATTTGGCAGCATTCTGTGACAAGTAGGGTTCCGGGGAATAGGCAATTTCATGTACTGTAATATCCTAGACATACCATGGGGTTTATTATTTGTGACCTCACTGCCATTATAGGAACTCAAGTTATGCTGCTTCCAGATCAAGCAGACGTAATTAACAACTAGCGATTTTGGACAATAAAAGATTGCCTAAACTCCTCAACAAGAACCCACACAGTCGATCCGAGTAAAACGTAAATACCCACTAATGGATTAGTCAGACAATTAGACATGGCTACGTCTCACAAAAAAATTTCAGAATATAAAATCACTAACTTTGGCTAATTTGGGGTGTGAGATAGACTTACCTCCTCGTGGTGCACCCTGGGCAACGGCAAAAATAGTCTATTAACCGGCAGTTGACTTCTGACTTCAAACGACCATCACCCCACTGTATGTCATATGCGACCCCTTTCTCGTTACTCATCTTACCCTTTCTGAGCATTGGTGCCTGTCTATTTCTTTTACATCTGTGAATAACTCTTCTGATCTCCCTCTCGAATTCTTCTCATTTTAATATTCCTCCTCCCCTCTGTGAAGCCCGAAGTCAACCAAAAGGCTAATGATAACTATCAAAACGCCTGCCATTTGTTATAAATATAACTTTGGCTAACTTTCCCGCCCAGCTTTAAACTTTCTAGTGACTTGACTTATTCTGTGTTTTCGATCCATATCACTTAAATTAACTTGATTGAGCTTAAAATAAGTGCCATGACACAAACAAAGTCAAGAAAATTCGTGAACTTCGTCAAAAATTATCTGACTGCTTTATGGTGATTTCTATACCTCAGAATGTACAAAGCAATTTTTTTTAAGCGACAGTGGCGTAAGACATTGTTGATTAATTTTGATAGTAATCTCTAATAATGAAGTGACTCATAAACTACTAGATACCTATGCATTTCATTTGAGCATAGACTGCCAAATTGGTACCTCGATATATTTTTTATCACAGTCAGCTTATCTAACTAGGTCTAATGAAAGACTGCACCCACACCCTTTCGAGCACATAAAATATCGCTTTAAATGAGCAATTGGCATATTTGTGCTCGGAAATAGACATTAATACAAGAAACATTCGATATCCGAGGTGGTGAATTCACTCACAAGTGGGTGAATGGCAATATATGCACTGTTTTCATGGAGGTATTTATGAAAGGCAGCCTATAACAGAAAGTAAGTTATTTAGAAATCCCTCGCGCTACTGGTAAGGTAATTAAGTAGTATAACGTACTCTATACTTAGTAGCACAACCGGTCATTTTCCCCGGTGGTGCTATTTCATTAAGGAGGAACTGTGCTTCAATTAGCATAAGACCGTAGATATAGGCAGTATGTCTCAAAGCTTTGCCCTCCTTGTGGCCAGTAGCTGATGCCAACTTATTCGTCCATAGGGGCAGATTTAACAGGTGATGTTTGCTGAGTAATCTCCGACCCTGAAGTCGAAGAAGATGGCGAATTAGGTAGATTGCTGCTGCACACTTTAGACTAGCAGAACACTGGGATAGAGCCATTTCCATCAAGCCGAGCTCGAAGATGTATCGAGCTAGCAGAAAATACTGTAAAACGAAAAGAATCAGTAGGTGGAATGCATCGTTTTCTCCAGTAATGCTGAAGTAAAGGCAAATTTCAAACAATTTCTTAAATAATGACTATTTATAGAAAGGCAACTTTCGTCGTTTCATCGACTGTTTAAAAGCAAGCTATCATGATGTTCATCAGGGTTGGCCACATGTTCGTTCGTTTTTTTTTCTCTCTAGGCTAGCCGTCAGGAGTAGAACACGTCCTAAAGCACCTAGCACCTTGGAGACAACCGGATAGATAGAAAGAAAGTATTGTGTAATCCTAATTCAAGTTTTTTTGGTATACTATCTACTATAAATTACCCATCTAATGGCTATGAATAGTAAATTCCAACTAAAACGGGTGACTAACCTTGCATTTTCTTTAACTAGCCTACAACTGTGTACTCGAAATACTATGAGCCAAGATATTTAATGTAAAACATATAGAACATCATTAACCTAAAAGACACAAAACTACTGTCTAACTTCATGCTAACAGTTGCGCAAATGTTATCACTTAAATACGGGCAAGCTTTATGCAAGTGGGTAAGGTAGAAAGAACGTGAATGCAGAATACCGTATGAACATGACATTGGACTTCGTTAATATTTTAAACTACTCAGCAATCAGTTGGGAAATAACCACCCATGATTTTTATGAGACTCAATATTACTAAAAGGTGATTAAGTTTACCTCGTTTTCGCCGAGTTCTTTTAGCACTTCCAGTGATGCGGCGACTGCAAAGCCCAGAAAAGTGTGTGGAATTGGACTAACGAGATCATAATCAAGGACTTTAAATATCTTCAACTCCATCTCTGCCATCTATAAATAAGTGATGGTAGTTATAATTTATTGAACTATAGTGGGACCTACATCACTGCATTGATATTTATTCATTGGCAGGCTACAAAGCTGGGTAAAAGTGACTTTTCGTCTCCGACAAGTAATCTTGGCCGCTATGGAAATCGCCACCATACCAAGAAGGTCGTAGTGATTTGGATCTACTAGCTTACGCCAGGTATATCGATCCACTAGTACAGTAGCCAGGTGTTCAGTTTCTGTACTGAAGCCAATATGTTGCTGAAGCTGAAGATTAGGTAGAGTTTAGATTACAGAATTCAATACCCGAATCAACCGATTAAAGAGATCGGCCCGCCAATCTGATGATATGCAACTCATTGATGGACCGTTGGGGTTGTAGGTCGAAATGATCCTATCATCCTGAATCAGCTCATAATTCAAAATCTAAAAACTTAATTATGAAACATGCCAACACCAACACTTCTGAGATAGACATATGGTCCAACGGAAGCGGACTTTGAGCTTGGTTGGTGACCGTTTATATGAATGTGGTTGAGAGAATCCACATTCTTTCGCCTCCAGCCACCCATGAATGTGGTCATCAGTTCAAGAGTTTTGTTGTAAATGGCACAGCCGGTTTTAACCGCCGGTGCCTTGAGAATCGCATCTCTCCTGCTTTCATTTAATATTGTTTTGCCAGTTATATCTGAAATAAAAACTTGACAACCACCGAGTGATAAACATTTGAGGTCAAACAATAAATTCAACTCCAGATTTCAAGGTCCACCCATTTTTAACAGTACCTCCTATTGACTAGGAAGTGAATCAACAAGTGCCCATGGACCCGTTCCCAAAGTCACAGTTCCTTCTCTTTCCATTTTAGCACAGTAAACTGCCCACCTTTTCTCTGTAGAAGTCCTCTTCTATGCCGACAATTTGAATGGCTAATCGAATTTTTGCTATTATTATTATTATTATGCAAGAGCACTATCTAGCTCTTTTCTTTGATTTTCAGCCCTCTAATCTCACCACTGCGAATTGCTCTGCGTTTTGTTCCATTACTGGTCTTCTTCTTCCCGTCTTGTGACAACCGTGGTAAAATCCTGGAAAGAGAATAGTTGAACTAATTTTCTTGGACTGAAATCTTCTAATTGCTGCAAATGGATATGACCTGTGCTATTATTGTTATCCTGTGTAAAAATACAAATGTAATCAAACCAGGTAATATGGCATCTATTGGTGTTGCTTATATTTTCAAACTTTTCTTCCACAAATACTCACATCACAAAGCAAATTTTATCGAACTTACTATTCACAGACCTCTCAGAAGATCCACTGCGATTTGCCATCTGTACATCTAAAACAATGGTGTGGAACAAATAATTAATCCAAAGAGTAGTAATGAAAGAGATTAGAGAAGTAAGCCGAGCTTACATTCTATTATATTCGCATCATGAAGACGCAAGCCCCTAAGTGTCAGTGTTTTGAATTCTTCATTGAATAAACAAAACTAAGTATTATTAAATACGAGTAATTCACATAAAAATGATAATGAGAGCTATGTAATTACTTGTTGGGTTCACTTTCTGTTTGAAGATATTCTCTCTAGACTGCACGAGGAAGGAGCTACATTGTGCTCAAATAACAAATACAATGCCGTTACTTTTCCGTTTGTGATTTACGTTCTATCCTCGGTCTCATTTTTTTGGTTTGCTTAAAATTGAGCCGACAAGAAAGAGTCACTAACGTGCAGAGGATTGAGTGTCCTGTTTAAATTTCCTGATGTGAAGAAGAGTGCTGTTCAAGGGAATTTCAAACACACATTGGTGAATTCTGATTGCAATTCAACAAATTTATCGATCGAAATAAACATTCAGTATGATATTGCCTCATTCCTTACATTTAAACACCGAAATCTAACTCTAAATTAGCCAAAAGAAATGACGTCCTAACGATATCAGGGCAACCAACCTCTAACTCAGTCCTCTTGTTCGATTAATCCCAAAAAACAAAAGATATCCAGTGAAGAGATCTTATTGTAAATATGGAAAAAAACTTCTTCCATTGGCACAAAAAAGGCCCAATAGGTGTTAATTACTTAAATACCTTCCTTTACAACCGCGTTTTCACTTATTTGCCTTAGTTGGAAATAGATACGCGTACTCCGATATACTCTATCTATCTCACAAATTTCTTTATAATGAGTGGCTTTATGATTTTGCTTCACTTTTTAACTTCACTGCATACGATTACAAGGTTCGTTCATTACAACTATATTCTCTAGGTAATAAAAAATTCTGTCTTGTAAATCAATACTTTGGTAAGATGTCGTGTCTGATTTACTCTGGCTTGACAGGACGCAGGCAGGCTCGCAGTATGGTTCCTGCTGAGGTGATGAGGAATTCGGAACCGGCTGGTCGTATCAAATCGATATAATGATCCGTACTGGCCCCAATAACAAAGTAGTAGGTTTTGGCTCTCTGATAATCTTGAAAGGTGATTCATGCATATATGGGGAGACTTTGCTAAATTAATAAAATGTCTTGAAGAATCCGAGCTCTTGTTTTCCGTCCCTTCTGGTTTTGAGTTAGCATTTTGCTGACATCTAGAACTTTGTGGGAGAACTATGCCTCCTCATTAGTCGCATAAAACTAACTTACAAATGATCTGATTGCTGGAAATTAATCTTTTGCCTATAAATGGCTAATCATTTTTATATTGATTGACCGAACTTGGAAAATAATATGAATATGGAATATGAACCAAGGTATGGCCAGAATTTGGCAATGAGGGAAAACTACATTTCAAATCTCTAATAAGACATACGTAAATGTGTTTGCGGTTATTCTTCCTCAAGCATTTAAATAAATGTTCATTTTTACATAATAAAAGGATATTTGAAAGGTGTATCACTTTTTAATGTTCAAGAAATGAAAATGCACATGTCATAGTACTGATATGATATACAGGTTTCTGAAATCTCTACTTCATTCTTCATCCAAACTTGGGAGCTTTTCAAGCCTCGCTATTCCGAAGTAGGCATCTGACTTGAATTTGTTGTAAGCAGCCTGTGCAAGAAAATAAGAGAGTAGCATTAATTGCTTGCTAAGTGATTACAAGTTTTGGCTTTAAACTGATGGGAACTAACCATAAATGGCTCGGGACAGTTCTTGGTATAGGCAGGAATGGGGTTCTGTGAAACTTTCTTAGCCTGCACGAGCATTTTCTTGTATATTTGAGCTGCACTCCGAACTTGGTCATTGTAGCAGAGTTGGAGGACTTCTTGCATCTCATAACTCATAGGCGACATCCTATGATAAATGCATCTAGTTCGTGGGTCATGTTTTTCATCAAATGAGCAGTCACAGAATTTTCTGAAAAGCTCTCGCACACAGCAGAGCACTCCAGCACATTTAACTCGTGCTGAATACTTAACTAGTCCGATATTCAGGGCACCAAGATCGAGGAGATATAAACACAAGGCCACAAACTAAAATAAAAAGGAAATAAATGGTAATTTAGTGAAGTTTTCGTTAGTGTTTTTCTCTCTTTTCAGCTACAAATTGCAAGCATATACAAAGCCCTATCTAAAGGTAACTCATACATTTTACTATTCAACTTAGTCTTGTATCACATTAAATGTTGCACAGATGATACTGAAAGGTATTTATACTGTAAAATCCCCTACTGCCATGGTGAAATAGAATTTTTTATTTCCATTTACCTTTTTCCATACACTCATTTCGAAGTCTGGCATGACCTGGAGACAATGAAGGAGATAGAAGTGTGGAATTAGCTTTTTGAAATCTCTACGAACAAATTCGCATTCAAATTTGCACAAGGCTTTCCAGATCTACAAATACAGGAAAGTAAGTTGAAATCATCAACGAAAAAATCTTACAAAAAAAATATTTAAGATGGAACAAACCTCTTCCATAGTGAACATTTCCTTGCAAAATTCATGAACTCCTTTAATGATGTCCTTGAGCACAATTCCTTTTTTTGTCATCTTTATCGCTGATATTAGGCTAACAGTCGCAATTTTTAAATAATCTCTTGGTTTTATTTCCCTATTGATCCAAGTAAAGGAATCCAGAAGGAGGGTAGCAATGTGGAGGGCAGTCACATCGGTATCAAAAAGAACTTGCATCTATAACGAAAGTCATTACTGTAGATTTATGTATTCATAAGTTCGTCTCACGATAAACAGGTAAATCGTCCATGGTAAACCAGAAAAATCTGGAAGAATTCATGCTTTGAAACACGTGTATCTTATACCATTCTGCCACAGGCACACGTTGTCTGATATGTACACTATCCTAATTGTTAAAAGGTGATTTTTAATCAGTTCCTCTTCAAACGAACAGTCCACTAGTATGCCTTAATTTTGTATCTGCATCACAATTCCACTTACTTTCATGATATGCTAACAAGAATAACAGTGCTTAAGAAATATGCACTCTTATGAGTTGGCAAAACGTGATGCCTTCGCATTTACATCCTTACACCGCCTATATAAACAGCTGGGTATTGTTTTTTTTCATATATTTGAGTTCTATGTTTAAAAGCTTCGAGGACTTACTCCGGTCATCCAGTCAACAACAGCTGCACGCATCAAAGGGGTTAGCATAAATTCACTTGAAGTGGGGGACAGATACGTTTTGACAAACTCTTCATCCGCTTTAGCATCTTCAGCGGTAAACTAAAAGCAAAAATAAGGCAAAATAAGAATACTTAAGATTGAATTAATTTTGAAGCAGTAATTTTCTTTAGTAAAATATTGCAATACCGGGGGTAAGTTATACACTTTGAGAAAGTCGTCAATGGTTTTTGAGCCTCTGGGATTTCTGGCTCGAATGTAACGAACTCGTTGTCCGCCCATTCCATGGCCACACTCTAAAATTGTAATTGATATTATTAACTCAGAGGTGGGAAAGTCTGCCTACCATTACGCAAGATGTCTAAGGCTTGATGAACAGTTATAGTATATAGCTTAAAAGAACTTTAGATCTCATTAAGATATACCCGATTTCACTACTTTATGTTTTTTCAGTAAATTTGAGAGTTCATAAGCTGGCATACATTCATTAGCTAAAATGCACAAGTGAACCATAGTCTAGTGAATGCGAAACATAAGTGAGAGACCAATCCACTTTATTCAAATGGAAAACCTACACAAATAATCTGTTGCAGAAGTTAAACGCATAAGATCTGAAACATATTGACATACGTCCATTATACATAAACAACTTTATTTCAGAGGTAAAGTAAGGAAGGTAAATTCCTACTAAATTAAAACCATGGTATCTGTTTTAAATGAAAGGTCCTTTAGATGTTTGAAATGAAAGAAAAAAACCTTAAATAATAAGCAATTAATATTTGAGTTTAACTTAACAGCTAATGAATGCGTTTGCTAAATAGCAATAAGGGGTTAAGATTTTTATAAACATTTTGTGATTGAAATAGCCTACCTCTCGTTTCTGGCATTCCGGGAATCATTGGAAGTTCGAGTTCAGCGCGTGTTCCTTCAAAATATATAATTTAATCAATAAGGTTGCATGACTGGAAGCAACATTCGCTTTCAAGCCAACATTATCTGTTAGAATCCCATGATAAATGACCCGACAATTTCTAACGCTTGGGTATAGCCGCCAACTGTAATTTGAATTTTTAAAGCTCGTTAGATACCATTGCCACCGGTATCAATGAATTATATTTCTTAATGCCTTATTAATAACTTTTACTCTTGATAAAATAGATTGAATAGACCAATTTCCTGGTTGGCCATATATATCCTTGAAACCTTCTTACTCACTCTGGTGTGTGTGTGTGTAGAATAATGATATTTCGACTAGAATTAATAATTATGGGATTTCTTTCAATTAGTGCTGAAAGGTAAAGCCTATTCAGAAATAATAGTTTGGAAAATACTAAATGAAAAGACGATAAAATGAGTAGTCAAAGCTGTGCACCACAACTTAAATGAATCAAATAAATGATATCCACAAGTTTTGAAATATATGAATGTGTACTCAACTCATCAGAGAATAGGCTAAAAAATTAATTTGATTCAATAAACATAATAATATGTAAACCTCGATTGAAATCAAAACAATTAGAAAGCTTTTGTATTAAGTGTATCATATAATAATTTTTCACTAAAATGCAAATAAATAGGCCAAAAAGTGTAAAAGATCTTCATTACCAAGTACTTTGAATGGAACGGGCTCCTTTGGTATATTTCGACACATAGTAATATTAGAATTTTCTTATGAAAAGTGAAAAAAAACTTTAATTTTAGTGCCTTTTTTAAGACAAAATTTGACCAATTTTTACTACCTGTTAATTCATTCATTTGATCATCTAAAATTATAAGTAAAATCCTCGAGGAACATTTTGAGTTAAATATGTAGCATTAGATAAATTACAACAATCTTACCGATTAATTCAATTGCATTAACTTTTTCCAAAGCTAAACGTGAATACAAAGATTTTAGCGAACCTATACTCTTTCCTATTTGTTCGAAAAATGCTTTTTCGGAATCTTCAAATAGCAATGGCTGAATGTGGTATTAAACTTTAAAATTCGATGAAATCATTCATTGAACTTCACATATTGACTGTCCTGACTCCGCGTAGAAACCAGGAGGGCCTCAGTGGAAGACAGTTTTATCGGAGAACTTTAATCACATACTTTTACAATTGGTACTGTTCTCCTGAACTGAGATTTCAACTTTAAAAACCCCGCCCATTAGATCAAACATTCTCTAACTAAATAGATAAGACCAAAATGCTGCTTGCCAGTATTGAATAGTGTAATTGAATAGATGTTGGAGGGAGCGATCATACTATTGGTAAACTCAGAATTTTAGTACTTATAGGTAAGCAGCAAACATTTATACTAAGCCTCTAAAATTAAGGGAGGTCTAAGTTAGATATAAATATATAGGCTGCCTTTGGCCGGTAAATACTTACAGTGCAGTAAGCGGAATTTGGTCATAGTCAAAAATTTATATAATGAGGCATAAAGGCAGATTTTTTAAACTGAAATATTCCTATTCAAATATTTTTTTGAAAAAAATAATTATTTTTTGCCAAATTTAAGTTGGTAAGTCTTTTTTTAGAAATATTGAAACATTAGCAATTAAAATTAAATGCAATATCATAAATTCTTGCAAAAACATCTCAAATTTCCTCTTATATTTTAATTCACCTCTCAGTATTAATAAATCCACATTTTTAAAAATGCTGCTAATTGGTGTTCTTAATTAGAGTTAGAAGTGCTTAAATCCACGGTTATCGACAACAAATATTTCGATTTTATTAAGGGTAAACGCTTCTCAAAGTTTCATTTTAATTTCCAAACTTTTAACCATACATAGGAATAGTGCTAATATTGATTTAAGTGATGCCTTTTAATTACTCAATGTTTACATGAAATCGGTAAATATCACAATAGAATTGGAAATCCCTTTTATGCCAGCAATTCCTTTTATAAATCACAGAATTCGTAAAGAGAGTGCGGTAAAGAGAAAGGACTATTTGACCCATTTTTTGAAATTGATTGCAATAAACTGAATAGAGGCAAAAGCGGACCTCGACGTTCATTCCCATTTTCCCTAGCACAATTCTTCCTCTTAAGGGAAGTCTCGAAACGAGTTCGCTTATGCAAAGGAAACCAATCCTCTTGTTGCATCGTTAGAAACACTTCCATTGCGTAAACTGCCGAACAATTTAATGTCGTTTTAAGTCTTAAAAGGAAAAGGTTGCTTGAAACAGCACATATCAGACTATAATTTTAGAAGTGAAATCGGACGCCGTTTGTACCTCTTCAAAGTATTTAATAAAAGAGTCGGAAATGTCCTTCGAGTAGAGAAGAGAATCCCATAGACTAAATATCCATGATCAATTTCAAAATCATTTCTCTTTCACCGTATATATATATATATATATATATATATATATATACTTTTAATTAACGATGTTCAATCAAAAGTTGGCTATGAAATATAATTATGCAATAATTCAAGCTGAAAGTCAGTCGTGCACATTTTAGATGGGAAAAAGTTGGCATCATTAATTATTAAGAAATCCATTCAAGTCGGTATTTAAATTACTGAGTAGTTTATGAATAACTTTACTTTCTATTAAACGGTGTATTATTTTATGACAAAATAGAATTACTAAAACAATTAATTGTCAAATGGAAAATTAATTGGAATTACAAACCGTTAAATTTTTCAAGTTCGGAAATAGTCATTTTATCTTGAATCCTATTTTACAAACGAATTTTATGGAACGTTGACTTGCTATTAAAACAACATGTACAAATTACGCTAATTAACAACTGTTGGCAATTACATTAGAGGCAGAAAATCGATAATGTATCTTAACATACTGTGTGTCAAATAGCTTCATGACTAAGCAAACTTATTGCTATGAGATAAGTGCTATAATATCTTTACATGTAATATTTGGTAGATTTGAGTAACCTTAATGTAAGTCAATAATTTTTTTGCAAACTATTAAGCATTGAATTAAGGTTGAGATTGCAGAATCAGTCTATTAAAAATAAGCAGTCCTACACAGGTGCGATGGGGATGCTATGGAAAGAAGGGAGCACAATAAGAATTTAGAATCATATAAAGTGAGAAGTTTATTATTTAAGATGGACAAACTAAATTAGTTCTGTCAAAAGCTGATAATTTTTAATAGATATGGAACATAAGACAATTCTTTTTATACCAACAGCCATAGAGGAATTAGTATTTACTTCCTCTATGATTATCCAAATAAAGTAATAATATTGGCTTAGTTTCTAACACTCATTAAAACCGATCAATTCAGTTTCACAGCACTAACCAGTAATGCTTAATAATCACATCATTGCTCTTAATTTGCTTTATTATTTCTAAAGGATTCATCTTATTACCCGAGAGCTTTTTTCAGAATTGCTTCGATCGGAAAACAACAGGAAAAATTTTTATGCAGTAGATGCTAATGATAACCATCATAAAGCCTGCTACTTGATATAATAATTTTTGTACAGTCTAAAGTTTGTTTCAATATAGATGCAGTTTTGTGATAACAATTCTCTATTCACTAAAATAATAATGATCTGCTTTATGGGTCTGGACATAATGATCGAATTATATCTTGTTTGACTTAAGTGAAACCAAAATGATCCTATCTCGGCATCTACCAAGAGAGGATTCGGGACCGGAAATGCATCCTGAATATATTCCATTTACCTGAAAGGTTCCCCCACTTTATTCTCAACCATAACTACATTCTGCATGCATGATTCCCAAAATTTTATCACAAGACTTTTGACAAAACAGAACCCAATAGTATAACCTTCAATAGGAAAACAAGATACCTAAATAGCTTTCGTCTTTATTTCTGGAAGAGGGATCTGTCATCCTTGGGGCTAAGTTTAATCATTCCTATCAAATTCATGCCCATACCGTTATTTGATAAGAGATCATTGCGGACCGGTACGATCTAGAGGTATAATTTATTCTAGTCAGCAATAGAGGTGGTAGGGTTCAAGTCTCTCGAACGAGGGGATTTAAAGTGTCTTTCCTCCAGTCAAGAGAGATGCTTCTAACACCTCGTCTAATGGATATAAAAATTTTGAAAAAAAATCACACGTGAAGTTAAATATGCGAGGTATCGATATAGAAACTACTCTGCTACAGTTCTAGATTTTCCTCGGCTTTCAAGTTACTAACTATGTAGTAGTTATGTTTCAAATGTGACAATTGATCAATGAATTATATTAAACCTATGTTGACTTTGGACGTTTCCCCTATTGGAATAATTTTATGCTAAATGCAAATTTTCCTTTTCTCTTCAGTTAACGCCCCAAATTGGCTATCAAAGTATTGTACAAATAAATGGCGGCTGTTACACTACTTAATGGCTTGAACTAGTAATCTTCCAATTTTCTAAGAAGTCTGAATTTTGTTTAAAAAAAAACGTTAGTGAGCTGAAGAATTGTCGAAATTTTGTTTTACTTCATAAAGGAAAAGCTGTGGGTGTACCTTTAGACGCTTAATCATTCGAGAGCTTGTCAAGCTATTGACATACTATAAAGTTAAGAAACCACGTGTTCCTGGAAAATATTGGCCATCCATTATGAGTTAAATGCGCCCTTCAGTTGATATATTACTGCTAGGAACTGTTGCTCAAGCGTCAACTCAACGCGTTTTATAACAGCTTAGGAGACAGCAGCATAATAATGCCGAAGTACAACTGCAATTTCATTTGAACACTCCGTTGTGTGTGTTCCACCAATTTTCCATTTTTATGAATAATTCAATTCTATTTTGGAAGATAACCTCCTTATTAGCCTATAATTATGATGGGTTTGGCCATCGCCAACTTGAGATGATGGGAGCACATGGGTTAGAGCAACACCAATATCTGAATCCCATGTCTGAATGGCTTTGTTTTTAAAACCGATTAAATGACAGGCAAATCCTGACACTTTTCAGCATGCAGCATACAAATTTCAGAGATTAATACAACTAACGTATTTGTATGCTAATGTGCTCAATTCGTAAGCAAAGATATTATTCAGGTTAAACCTACGCTGATATATTTAGTGGAAGCAAAACGAAGTCGTCTCACTTCCAGGATAAATAAGATTTTATATAGGCTATTAAATGAATCCTAAGCAAATTTATTTTTTTTGTGGATAATACACAATGAAAATGAAGTCATATTGGATAGTTAAGAAGGGTTAGAGACCTTCTTTGAAATTCCCCAGAATCTCCAGTTTCTTCAAATCTTCCCGATCAAAGCTGCTTATTTTAGATTCTATTGCTATCCTATCGTGGCAGTTAGCCACGTATGCACCAAAGATCATCTAAAATGAAACAAGAACATCAAAAACTGTTTGCTGCACAAAAGCGACTTCAATTCTAGGAGCAAACTAACTGAATATTTGGCCGGATCTTCTTTGTTCCAGAATGCGGGAACGCAGATTTCATTGACACTCAAAAGAGTCTTCCCATATTCGTAACCGATACGTTTTAATTCTTTAGTTTCTTTGGAACCAGAAAGTTGAACAAATATTTTTGGCCAGAGAGCTGACACACGGTGCACGCAACCGACTACTGAGAAAGTGCAGCTACAGTGTAGTTTGAGAATGAAACGAATGAACCAAATTGCCGCAGCACATCTAAGACGTGGGGAGTATTTCCGGAGGTTAGCATTTTTCAGATTCAAATCCAGAATGTAGTTACATGCGTGCTTGGCCTGAAATAATAAATCAGATTAAATATTTACAGTGCATACAATGCGTAAATATCAAAGATTCTCAAAGTACCCATTTAAGTAACTCTGGTGTGTATTCATGAAGACCCCATAAAAATATCTCAAGCCAACGGAGCGTTGTTGGGAAGTTGATATTTTGGCAGACACTGTCGCTGATATGCTCAATATCTATAAGCTAAAGGCAAATATATGATTGAATTACGAAAACCTACTTTCGATCGTGAAACTGTTAATCCAACAGCGTGTGCAAGTTTAGAGAAATCCAATTCGATAGAGTTATCAGGGTCTTGAGTTTCTTTTGCCAACGTAATACAACCGAGTACCAGTTTGTTATTTGGCACAATAGTACACCTATTCGCAGCGAAATAAAGTTCCACAAGGCCAGACGCCCGATGAGCAATACCCATTGGAAGATTCAACCAAGAACAGTTCTTAAAAAGGAAAGTATTGTTTTGAAATTCATTTCGCACTCATTTACTCATTAAATTTAGGCTTTTTACCAGAATAATTTTATCCATTAGGGTGTCATATAATTGCCGTTCAACGTCAAGCTGAGTATTTTCCACAGTAATTATAGAATCCATATATGATTTGTCCAATTCACTTTCCTGCTCTATAATCTAAAATGAGTAAAATATGTCATATTGAAAAGGAGAAGAAATTTAGCTATTACCTTTATGAAATTTTTAACGTCGCCGATGCATATCTTGTCGGACTGAATATTAAACGTTGGCGATTCAACATCCTGACTCGTAGGTAAAGTATCTTTATGGAATTGCTCAACAGTTTTGCATATATCTAACCGATTCTCAATCGAAATGTTCTTTAAATTATGTTCGGGTTGGAGACCAAAGACCAAATTTAGTGAATTCTTGGATGGCGAGGTTTTATTTTCTAAAAGTCATTCAAGATTATTTAAGGAGGGAGGGAGGGGGAGGGTTAGGAGATAGATATGTTCTTGTTGATCAAAATAAAACTATATTATAACACCTAAACTTGTTCGTATTCGAAAATATTCTTTTAAAAAATTAATCCAACGATATACCCTTAGAATGAAATCGCTTATTTACTTTAAGGTATCAATTAATATGGCTAAAATATAGAGATAGTTGACATTTTGGGTTAAATAAAGTTTATAAAAGTCTACCAACAATAATACTCTGTACTTTTTAAAATACTTACCATCTTTTTCATCACTGGTTTCATATGAATCACTACAAAATATTCATTGAATTACATTATAATTCACTTATGTTAGCTTACACTTCCATCGGTTCTTCATATCTTTGGTTCTCACCCATTTTCAACTATTTGAAATTTATTTCGCTAATCTCAGACTAATTAGTCTGAATTTTATGCGCTGAAATAAATTATATATAATCGTATATATATACTATTAATTGAAGAATCGATTATCATTTTAGGGGCCTTTCGATTATCAGTCCAAGAGATCACGCACATCTTAACTAGTTCAAAAGATTAGGGAATTCTGAAATAAGTGTAATAAATAGGACAATGATTTTAAATATTCGAAATTAATATGATTTAATCTGATAGTTCCCTTATTCCCAATAGGTATTCTTAGTAAAATCAATTTAAACAAGCATATTTTCCAAAGTGAAAGAAGAGCAGTTAAAAGTGTAGAGGATTGCTACACTTATAAACCTCGACTTATACTCAGAAATCTCTATGGCAAATTCTCCTATATTTGGAAAGTCTCCCAGAAAAAGCTAAGGTATCGCAAAGCCATAGAGGAAGCGGACTTCCCACACGGAGCATGTTTGTTTGGGATGTGTATGTGTGGCGCGGTGTGTGTATGGGGTGTGTTCACGTGTGGAAAAGTGGTGGGTTCGCTAAACCAAGCGAGGACTATTGACTATCGGTTGACTGCGTACTCTCGCATTCAGAACCTGACTTATTCCTTACGCGAAGTTTCACGCTGCACCTTCAATCACCTTTGTTCAAAGGTAGCAACGTTGTGTGCTCTACTAAAGCTAGAACAAGGTAATTGAATAAGGTGGAGCACAAATTCTAACAAGACTTTTCGCAGAATAATGGGCGAAATTAGATTATTTTGGCAGATAAAAAGCATACTACTATAAATGAGCATATATCGAAAATAAATTGAATGAGTTTAGTTGATTTAAAATAGTCAATTTGCTAGACTGACTATCAATAATGAGTAAGAATATGATGTGAAATTTAACAGTAAATTCTTTAAAATAACCGTACAATTAAAGCACTAATGACAGTCTTGTGGGACTCGCCATCGTTTAACGCGTGATCACATGTGCGTACAACCAATGGCCAATCAGAAGTCTTTGCTTGTTTAAGCGGATCCCCACGTTGTTTATAACTAACCGTATGTAGCGTGTACACTTTTACCACAATATACTTCCTAAATAAGCGTGTTCCGTGCGATGCATCTGTTTCCTCTATAGTTGGGCTGTAGCTTAGCCAGATTTGAGAGTCTAGCTAGATATAGGAGATTCTGCCACAGATTTCTGAGTCAGTCAAGGTTTTACTAGAGTAGCAATCCGCAACAAATTCGAGACCCTGACGTGATTAGAAACTACATAGTTATGAAATAAGGTAAAAAGTAATTTGAAATAGTTAGATAAAGTGAGTAAATTTACGTTTTTCAATCTAATGCATTTATTATGATCTGCTGCCGATTTACCTTCGTTATTTGTTTATATTAAGTTAGATCAAGACTGATTCCAAGTGTCTGGGTTAGTCTTACGGATTCGCATTCCATCCTATCTCAATGAACCCCGGCAGCAGGTATGAATAAAGTCATTTCTTAGAATTAGTCATGAATTGAAAATCAGCGAAGTAAACAGGAAAAACGAGTTATCTATCTTCAAAGATGGAGGGAGACAAAAATGGTGCTTGTTAATCATAAGTTGTAGAACAACTCTTGACAACAAATTGATATCTAGCTTACAGATCGGGAGATGAACCATAAGAGATGGAAAAATTGTTTCAGTTGTAACGAATTAATGTTAGGTGTTAAAGAAAGAGAATAGTTGTATCGTTCAGTTACCCGGGTTTTGGACTTGGATCGATCATACCGCATTGCCAAATGTGCCAGCAAAGGTTTTTTCAAGTATAAGTAAGTGTATATGTATGGGTATAGTTTGTCATTAATTATTAAGCAGACTTCCCGTACAGATGTGTAGCCTCGTTCCCTTCTTACTTAATTCAGAAATACATGTTTCTCAATCTAGGCTAAAATGCGAAATAATACGTGTTTGAACTTGGTTACCGCATGATACACATATACATTTTGCTTAACCAGCAACTTCCACTTTAAGTTTGTCCAATTTAATCCACTCCTACTAGGTTCTGTATTTTCTTGACCTATTTACTGAACTTTCCTTCTCCTTTCTTGAAATACCTTCGGAAATAAGGACTAAGTATGATGAGCTAATATTGGCTATTGACGTCATTTCTTTTACGGAAAACCCAATGAGCATGCAACTCTGATCAACAACTGTTCTGCCCACAAATATGGCTATTTGGTGATATAAGACTGGAACACACGACGAAGTGGCCTCATACGACTAAAGATGAAATACTTAACTCTAAAGCACTTCAATTACCTCATTAAGCGACTCTGTTAGCCTCAATTCACGCCTACTGGTATCGACATGACTTTACAACTTTTAACCATTTTGAAAGGGGCTTCTTCGAATGTAATCATTGTTGAATTGCATTTTGGTTAGAGCGTCCAAACTTTTTAATGAAACGGCAAGAAAATAATGAAGAATGGACTATGTAAAACCCAAAATTGATTCTTGAAATCTTAAACGACCTTAATTTCACAAAAAAATGTCATTCGGGCATGTGTAAAGTAGGTAAATAAGTGGTATTTTTACTAAGTTGCTTAATAAAGATGTATAATTTTTTTTTGAAGTAATTTGTTGCAGATATTTCTCCGTTAAAAATCAAGTGATGCTAATGAGCAATCTTGTTTTATGCCAATCCTCCACAAACTAATTTAGCTGAATTGACTTTACACTAATTTTCCACATTTATCTACCAGTGTCCATGGTCGAAAATGATTGCCCTACTATTGTGTTGTTTTTTCAAAAAAATATTTTTGTCGAGTAATGGGGTATTCTGTTGCAACGTTTATTAATCATGCAGTGCATTGACAATACACTTTTGAATGGACATTTGATTTCAACGGCGTTCAACTTTATTTGTACCAAATGACAGGTGTTTTGATAGAAATCATTAGTCCTTTAGTTGACTTCAGGCTTCATAGAGAGGAAGGAACATCAAAGGGAAAAAGTCGAAGGGGGGGGGGGGGAACAAAAGAGTATTTCAAAGATGTAAAAGAGGCAGACAAAAAGGTAGAAAAATGGTGAGATGAGTACTGTGAAGGTTGTCGGATATGACATACAGTGGGGTCATGGTAGTTTAAAGTCAGAAGTCAACTGCCGGTTGATAGAATTTTTGCCGTATGAGTATACGTTGCCCAGGGTACACCAAGTGGAGGTAAGTCTATCGCACAGCCCACCTGTCATAGAATATGCTCATTGGGTTTTGTATTCTGCGGTATGCCTCCCTTATAGGAAACTGGGGTAGAGTTTAGTCATCAAACACTGATATAGGTCCACTGATCCTCTACTGAATATTGGCGCATGATCTCATTTGATCCTTAGCACGAATTGCATCACAGCCACCCTCTATAGAATGTTCGAGCGCGAATGGGATTTCATCGTTTAATTGTTTTAGGATCGTGCGCTCCACAATCCGGAGGCCTAATAATTTATGCCTATTTGTGCTCAAGGCAACTTAAGTTTGAGCACTTTAAAAAATTGCGTTTTACTATATATGTACAATAAAAGCTCTTGCTTTGCTGCGACGAGAGACATTTTATATTTGCTGGCACTTTTATGTAATTTTTTGGTTTTCCACAGACTGCGTTACATTTGTCTAAACATGAATCCAATTTTAAACATTTAATAAGTTAGATGATGGTATTACTCTCAATTTAATTTTTGCCAAGCCANCTCAGCAGCATTGTACCCACAACCCTCTTCGACTTTGGCTGCTTCCTAAGATAAAAGTTCACTGAATCCCAGGCGATTTGGAGAGGACTTTAAAGAACTTCCAGCATGTGGTAGACGACTCAGGCGTTTTCACACCCATTCACATCGTATATTGATTCACAAGGGCGAATAAACCACAATCGAATATGTTTAAATCACCCAATAATGGCGCCTTTCCTTTTTCCATCTCCACTGTCTCCTTCTCACTCCCCCTCCCCCCTCCATTCCATTATACTAGTTCAGTGTGCATTTTTCCAAACCAACATTTAGTAACTGAATTAGTGGCTACTTCAGACCATTTTCACCGTATTTCTTGTTTCGTCAGTCGATAGTATTTAAGGTAAGTAAACAGCCATGGCACTTTCACTCAAAAGGGAATAAGGCGGCCTTTGCAGATAATTTAACTTGCAGCGGGTGATATTATCTATTTATTTCAAATGGCAGGCGTTTTGATAGCTATTATTAGCCATTTAGCTGACTTCGTCCTACACAGAGGGGAAGAAGAACAAAGTGAGAAAAAGTGGAGAGAGGGAACAGAAGAGTGATTTACAGATGTAAAAGAGACAGACATACACATAGGTAGAGAAAATGGAAAGGTGAGTACTGTGGAGGTGGTTGGATGTGACACACATTGGGGCATGGTAGTTAGAAGTCAGAAATCAACTGTCGGTTAAAAGAGTACTTTTTCGTATGAGTATACGTTGCCCAGGGTGCACCACGTGGAGGTAAGTCTATCGAATACCCCTGGTGCCTCGACCCGGTAACAACTCCATGCGAACAGTTGGACCACACTTCGTGCTTAGTATCAATATTTGACCTAAACATAAGTTTTCAATAAGTACTCAAACAATAAAATCAAAGTGCTGGAATTCTTCCCAATAGTGCATAGTCGTTTTATTCATAACAGGATGACATAATGTTGGTCTAGCTTTAATATTGAAAAATTTAGACAGTCAAAGGGCTGTAAATATATCTCCAAAAGATTACCACTTTTATTTGCAATGAATTCATATTTTTCATTTACATTTTTCTCATAATATCTCACGTTTGTATCAATAATAGTTGTGATTACACAGACCCTAAGAGTAAATAGGAAATTGAGAACTTTTACAATTCTACTGCTTGGATAGTGAATGCGATAAATGCTTGACTGCCTGCTTACCCGTCAATAGTAGTTATAGGTTCACTATTAATGACCTTGCATAGTCAGATGTGCGAGTATAGATTCTATAAACAAGTCAAGGGGATTTTTTTTCTCACTTTCAGTCTACCCTAAGTAGACAATTAGGTGTCTTAGGGCTCTTTGCTAATCAATCTAACACACATTTTGGTAGTATGTGTTTAACGGCTTATTAATACTAACTTTCTACTTACCAGTAGAACACGCTAATTTTAAATCGTATTAAATTTAGCTTAAAGGCTAAAATTCAGTTTGAGCAAATATTTATTTATACTAAATGGCAGGCTTTATAATAGTTATCATTAGCCCTTCAGTTGAATTCTGTCTTCATAGAGGAGAGGAGCATCAAAGTCGCATAAAAGGGGACATAAAAGGTAAGGTGATTACTGTGGAAGTGATCGAATATGACATACATCCGGGTCATGGTAGTTTGAAGTCAGGATTCAACTGCCGGTTTGTAGACTTTTTGCCGCATGAGTATACGTTTCCCAAAATGTACCACGTTGAGGTAAGTATGTCGCATACCCCAGTTTCAGCAAATATTATAGAAATTAAACCATTACAAATAACATATATGTGTAATAATACATATATTTATATATATTATTGAAATGAAATGAAATAATATATTTTCGTTCACCACAGTGAGTCTTTCACTGATTTGGTTGAGTAAGATTAAAACTAATGTCGTCGTAAGTTAATACACTAAGTATGGGATCTGATGTTATAAAATTCTGGTATTTGTTAAAGGCACACTGTCAAATGTTAGTAAATAAAAAGAACAATGATTATCATTTAGCATTTTTATCTGATGATTTAAAAACCTTTCACTTACCGAGAACGGCGAATATAAGTGTTGAAGTACATCATGGCGGTTCATACATATGAATATAGTTCTAAGTGCAAAATCGGCATAATCGTAAACCTTTTTAAGAAAGGCTTTTGATTGGTTATTTTTAGTCGCTTTAGCCAATCTCTCTGGCCAGACTTCCATGAAATGATGTTCGCAAACGAATAAATCTTCATCACAATTGCACTTTTTTTTCAGTATATAACGAATTAAGTTTAGAATAGTTGCAGTCTTAGTACAGGGCATTACTTGAGAGAATTTCGCATAAATCAGCGATACTTCATGTATAAACTTAAATGATTTTCTAATCTAATAGAGTAAAAGACATGAAATGCTAATTATTTATTTACCCAATCTTTTAAATCATATTCGAATTCAATTAAAAATGGTTCGTAAAGTTCATAGTAATCCATCACGGTTGGACATCTGCATAGGTATCGACACGATTTCGTTTTCATTTCATCAACATAGTTAATTACCTATAGTATTAATACTCTATTATGTAATAAAATATTACTTGATTTATGGTATAAAATGATCCAATTTCAGGAAACATGCGATAAATTTCCTCCAGATTTGTATTATCTCTGATGTGGTGGGCCAGAATCAAGCATGCGAACGCTATCATTTCATAATCTGATGGTACTATTACATTTACAAACAGATACGCGTCTAACAGATCAACGGCTGCATAAAAAGCAATATCTGACCAGCGCAGTAGCCTTTGCATCTTAAATTATAGAATAAATATAATAAAAAAATGAGATTACTTTATGTAGCTCTTAAAAAATACAAACGTACCTTTGAAATCCATTCTACGACATGTGCACGACGATAATGAGATACTCCACTTCTGAGCCAAAACTCCGAACAGTAAGCAGAACTTCGGATTTCATCCATACATATCATTAATTTTTGTTTCTAAAATTTTTTCCCACATTATAATTTTATCTCCCGAAGTTACGTTTTGTATTTCTTCTAATCTTTCTTCGACAATCGCATTTTGCTCTGCTAGATCTTCAATTTCAAATTCCATACAATTTTCATCCTGAGCATCTGCTACATCTGTTGACCAGACATTATATGCTGTAGTGACTTGTTCACGCCTCTCAGCCTCTCCCATTGCCATCGCTTCATCGACATCAGTTTTATGAAAAGCTTCCGAATGAAGAACACCGTCTAAATGGAATTCAGAATTTCGATAAAAAATTATTTTTCTCATCATTATTTCATACAGCTCATTATGGCAAGGTGTGATCAGTTCTACGTAGACTAATTGGTTACTAATAGCTTAATCACTTGGCTAGAAGTAACTGGTGCTTAGTTGGAGCTGTGATTAAGGGGTTCGTAAACAAAGTCGGATCTTGTTTCACACATTGCCAGCAGATTGGCCAACCGGACTCCCTCAGTTGGTTTATTAAATGATCTCTAGTGAACCTCAGTAATACCACTTCTAGCATAATTTAGCACTATAAAAAGCTCTCGTGACGTAGGATGAGGAAGTGCAAGTGAAACATCAATTTAAACCCTAAACTAACCTATGCGTACTATAAAGGATGGAGTTTTAGGCAATAATTGAAATTATTTAACAAAAAATATATTGATTTTCCTTGGTTTATATTAGCCCCTTTTTGTCATCGTTTTTCATACTAAGTAAGCCCAATTTTTGCAATGTTATGTAAAAGTTTTAGGCTGCCCTTTTTGAATAATTTAAGAGAAAAATCATGAATTTTAATTAGTAAATAAGTAATGATAATATTAAATATTAAATAAGCCAAAGGAGATGACATATTTCATACTCTTTTTATGCTGAGGGATTGAATTCCATTTTCGAGATATCGTTTGGAAGGTAAATTCAAGGGGCAACGGTGTTCCATAGCCTGGTTCATTTTCACATTTAACATCAATCAATGAATACACAGGGCTATAATCTTTGGCATCTTTAATAAATTGACACAAGTTAAGGTGATATATAAAAATCCGCGGGCATTTAACAAAATTACTAAAAACCTTCGTCTTTCAGGTCGTCCGCTAAAATAAATTTAAATTATAAGTTGCCTATTTAAAATGGATTTAAATCGACCAACCAGATGAAATTTACCTGCGAACTCTGCAAACGTTTGAAGAATAACAGGCTCTTCTTCTGGTATATCTTCTAGTTCATCAACTTCTATTTGTGTTAAATCTTCGATTCCCGCATAAAGTTCTCCTACAGAAATTAAAAATATGACCCTTTTATAAAAGCCTTTGAAACTTGGATTCTGTAACTCAAAGTAGTAATGAATAATAAACAAAATTATTACTTAAATTAAAACGAGGTGCGTTACAATTATTTTTTAGAGCCAAACGAGCTAGACCAAAAGAAATAATGAAAATTTAGAGTTGTCGGACTACTCTAAGAGGTAATTAAATCAAATAATTTTACCGTTTAGTCCGTTTTCGGCTGTTGAAATGTTCTTCGTGTTCTGATTTCTTCTAAAATAGTTCTTATTCAAATTCCATTCTTACGAATTTCTCTGAACTGTTCTATTCATTCTGACAAAGTACTTACTTTTAAAGTAGACTTATATACGCATTAATAATTTAATATGCTGACGAAAATAACGTAATAAATTAATCGATATCCCAAAATCATTGTAAATTGATGTAATTAATTACGTCAGAGCTCCATTTTATTCTGATGGCGTTGTTGTTCTGAAAAAGAATAGTTTATATTTTATCTTCTTACCACAATTTGTAAACTCGCCATGAAATATGTCGTCTAAAATATGGAAAAAATCTCCAGTACCAATTTTAAACCAGCTGATAGCAAAACCCTGCATTGCTCTATAGGAAAAGTAATTTATAATACTTGGTCCAAATTAGAGGATACTAATGGGGCTTATGAAGAATATGTCTATTTTTACAAACTGAAGAAGTGGAAATAACATGACCTCCAAATAGGACTTTATAACTCCCATTATATTCGTGTAATTGGGGTGTGCGATAGACTTACCTCCATGTGGTGCACCCTAGGCAAAATAGTCTATTAACCGGCAGTTGACTTCTGACTTCAAACCACCATGGCCCGACTGCTTGTCATATTCGACCCCTTCCACAGTACTCATCTTACCTTTTCCACTACCTTTGTGTCTGTCTGCCTCTTTGACATCTGTGAATCGCACTTCTGTTCTCCACCTCTCGACTTTCTTCTACTTTGATGAACCTTCCCTCTGTGAAGCCCGAAGTCAACCAAATGGCTGATGATAGCTATCAAAACGCCTCCCATTTGAAATAAATAAATAAATACTCGTATAATTTCAAGGCTACTCCAAGATTGGTTGAAATCAAATTTAATCACTTGAATACTTCAAATAGTAAAAGAGTTTTTGTTTGCTATTTTGTTATTATTGTAACAAAAGCAATTTAACTTATTGATCAAAAATAATGTTGAAATAAATTCCTTCACCGAAGCCATAATCTTCCTCAGATGGGTTTAGTAATTTAGGATCGGTTGCCACAGAATTTCTGTATTTAGAAAACGCAATCTGAAAGAGTAGGAATGTTTTCAAATTAGACACTCGTTAATTCGCTCATTGCACACTCAACGTAAGAGTTATCTTACTTCGCCGCTACAATGTTCGTCGTCATTAAAAATATGCATTCCTCTACTTGACCCGAAAAGCAGATTAGCGTAGTTCATAGCCCCATGAAGGAAGTAGCCGGTCTGCCTACATCCGGTCAACCTGGCCAAATTTGACGGCCACACTTCCATAAATCGATGTCTACAATTGTTATCCGGAGCATCGCAGTCACAATACTTCCTGAGGATATACCGAATAAGGAAAAGAATAAGTGCGGCCTTCGAGTTTGCTGTTACTCTGCCTAATGGCACCCATGTCAGCGACAATTCGTATATATACTGAAAAGCTGTCTTAATCTAGAGAAATTAGACATTTATTTATGTGAAAAGCCCAAGCATACCCACTGTTTCATTTCATCATTAAACTCGACTAAGGCTGACTCATAGAGATTGTAGTAGTCCAGTGCAATTGGGCTTCTGCAAACATAGCGGCAAGATCTTGTCTTCATGTCATTCACATAATTTCGAACCTAAATCAGAAAATTCCTACATGCTGGGGTTTTACAATTAACTTCAATGGCGTATTATTTAACATGCTTGTCTGTAGAGACAGTAATACGCGTGGGACGCCTACCAAGTGAACTAATGGTTAAGAGGAGCAATGTTGGAAATAGAGGGCGTATCTTTATTTCTTTCAAGTAAGTAATCTACTAGAGAATCTTTCCCATAAGTTACCAGGTATGGAGCTCGCTAACTATTGACAAGTTTTAATTCACACGGCTGACGCTACGATTTTGATAAATTTATGTAATGACTTGCTTGATTAATAGTATAAAAGCCTCCGATTTCAGGAATTATAGCATAAAAGTCTTCTGGATCACCATCTATTCTTATTTCATAGGCGAGGATGAAGCTAGCCATCGCCACGGTTGCATAGTCCATTGGTACAATCATGTTCAACATTAGATACGAGTCCAATAGATCAACGGCTTTATGTAAAATTTCATCTTGGAGGTTATTAATCATTTGGAGCTTAAAATTTAAAGGCAAAATATGAAAAATAGATCAATCGGTAATGCCGAACAGCTAAAAGAGACATAGTTCAGCTACACTAGTAAGCCATTGGATTGCTAGATATCGCTGATATCCAGAAATACCACTGAGTTCAAGGTAGTCTCGTCGGTATTGTGATGTTCGAATATCATCTAGTATCCTCATTACGGCCATTTCCTGAAATGACTTAATTGTAAATGGAAATTTAACTCATACGCTGTCCGACTCAGATAAGGCTACTTGTCGTTGACTTTCTGGCACTACTCTGAATCTGGCAAGCATTCCATCATCTCCCTGAGTGTCTAGTACAAAAGAATCTTCGTCTACGTCTGTATTTTTCTTTCGACCGTTTCGACGGTAGAGATCTAAACAAAATATACACAATCTGGATTTAAAAATAGACCTAATTAAAAGAAAAAAATATCTTAAAATCATCTAATTCAATACTTAAACACAGTTTCGTATATCTTTACTCACAATTTCATCTAAATCCTGTCACTGGAAGTATTTTTTAACCAAGCCAAGTTGTGCACAGAGATATATTGGCTCAAAACAATTGACCTCCTTAGGAATTATAACCCCAGTTACCGAAGCACTTGACCAAAAATTAGTTTGGTTTGTTTAATAAGAAATCGAAAAACAAGAAAGCACCATCTGCCAATAAGAGCATCGTTAACACATGAGTCAAAATATGCGAACTATGATCATAGTTGAACTTAAAACCGGAGACTGCAGATCCACTTAGGAGCTTCATTACACTTGTTCAAAATGAGTGCAATCTCTTCATGGGAAAATCTTGTTGGCATTCATCTCAAAGTTACGTTTTCTTCCACTGAAGAAGTGAACGCAAACATTTCATTTTCGTGAATTTAACATTCGCTTAGGCCACCTGTTCCTTAGCAAAATCGTACTGCAAAGAAGGCCCTAGTTTGGAAGGCGCCAAAATGATCTGAAGTCAACCAACAAGTCTACAATATTTTCTTTCTCGCTTCAAACTTCGCCACCATAGAAATAAAGAGAACAATGTTGGCTACGAGACTGGTAATCCCCAGTTTGTGAGCCATTACCTTAGCATGGCTAAAAGACCCGAATGCAACATAACGTGAAACATCGGTAAAAAGCTTAGTAGTTGTGAAATGAATCCTAATGTTAATACTCTAAAATTGGGGGTGTGCGATGGTCTTACCTCTATGTGGTGCAACCTGGGCAACGTATACTCATACGGCAAAAAATTCTATCAACCGGGATTTGATTTCTCACTTTAAACTACCATGACCCCACTGTATGTCACATTCGACCCCTTCCACAATACTAACCTTACCCTTTCTCTATCTTTGTGTCTGTCTGCCTCTTCTACATCTGTGAATCACTCTTCTGTTCCCTCTCCATCCTCCCCTCCCGACTTTTTTCACCTTGATGTTCTCTCCCCTCTGTGAAACCTGAAGTCAACTAAAGGGCTAATGATAACTATCTAAACGCCTGCCATTTGTTATAATAATAAAAATGATTAAACGTTATAAATAAATACTCTAAAATGTTATCTTCTCTTCTCCACATAGTCTCCGCCGAAATGCCTAATTAAATATTTATGCTGTAAAATTAGATGTAAAGCAAAATTTGCAAATAGATTGGCAACTTAAATTGGTTTGTTTTTTTGGCATATGCACCTAAAGATATCTTTCGTCCTCTCTTGCATTTGTTAACTTATAGCAATTATAAGAACTTGGAAAACAAAGGCAATACAAGCTAATGAAAGTATTTTGTTTCAATTTTTTTTCGTCTTATAGGAAAATCGTGATCCTGTGATATGGTTGTACTTTACGTTCTATGGTTAATCTAAATCCAATAGGATGTGTTATAAAGCTGAAGTCGTGTTCTAATTTAATCGAAATAACCTTTTACCTTCAAAAGGAATGGAGTCTAATATTGATTGCAGAGATTGCAAGGTAAAATCTGGCGTTGCGTCTTCATCCTCATCACTACTAATACTGTCGCTTTCATTGTCTTCAAAACCTTTCTGCATTGAAGTACAAGGCACATGTTCAGCTAAAATAATGGCAAAAATAGCGTACAGACCGTAGAGTAATACAAATGGCAGATAATAGTTTTACAGCCCAATCAGTCATTGGGTACATTTTCATCCCAAATGGAAAAGAGAACAAATAATATAAAAAACCACTCACGTGTGCATAAGAAAATAGATAAATTAGTCTTCTGGGCTTTTAAAATTTGCTAAATAAACTTGGATTATTCCATCAACAAGCTCCCAAACATTCAGACCAATTTCAATCACGAATGGTCAACCAGAGAAATGGGAAAAAATAATTGTAAAGTTAGCGAATCAAGTGATTTTTCCAAAATTTTAGGACAGTTCAAATCACCTTCATTTGTCCAACTTCCTACTAAGCTCTCTCTCTCTCTCTCTCTCTCTGAATTACATTCCGTTTTTGTAAATTCCTTGTGTAAGGCATGAACTCTACTGATTTGAAATAGGCTCGCCACCTAGCTAGTCTAAAACGAATGCAAATCAATGTGAAGTTAACGCTGTCTCAATATGTGGATCGGTTTGAAGCCGAAATTCAAAGATAAAAATCAGCATTGTGTGTGGGGCGCCACACCCATTATATGTTTCCCTACATTCTATTTATCGCATAAACTATTTCATCTAAAGGTCGTTTCCAAAAATGTCACATTTAGACCTCATATCCTTGGCTGTGTTTGGCCCCCAATTCAATTTTAAATGTTCGTCTAGGTTTATATTTATATGCTGTTCAACGCGTACCTTTAGCCCAAATTGCTATGAGTGCAAAGTGCAAGACAATTCATGCCCGCTTTAGGCCATCTACAACTATTTATACTCATCATCATAAAATAGGGTCGTAATTAAAACATAAGTCTTTTCATGAAGGTAACCAAAATATTATTAAAAAATAACAAAAAAAACTTGAAGAAAAACGGATTCTTCCTCGAAACTTTATTTCAAAGCATAAAAATCGTTATTTTTTATTATTTATCTAAATAAATTTAACTTTTAAAAGAAATCATTCAAACTCTCAAAAGTTTGAATATGTTAAGGTTTAGCAAAAAGACAAACAATTTTATTTCCCTTCTATTACATTGATTTCATCATCATAAGATTGATGGTATATTTCTTCTTAAAGAAAGTGAAAATTACTTTTAATTAAGCTCAAAAGCGACACTCAGGCCTCTCTGTTTCACCAAAACAATAATGAAATGAAAATGTTATTGTTTAACTGATCTGTCACTTGATAGCTTTACGCTTTCAATCCATTCGATATCCTCAGTTTCGAGAGCTTTGTGAAATTACAATTAAAAAAATAAAAATTGTAATCACTGCTACTAAGCATTTAAACATCAAGAAGATTTACAATCATAATTGTCAAAACAGAATGATAATTATTATATAACTTTAATGTAAGTGTCATTAGAAGATAATAAATTAAACTAATGAAAAAAATAATGATAAAAGAATGCAATGTCGGAAATCTTCAATTGAATCTTCAATAAAATTAAACGTTAATCTATAAATCTTAAATGAACACAGGTTTGGTACTATAAAACGGATTTAAAAAAATATCGTGCATTGTAGCGCACACTGACATCTGTTCTTTGACACTCTTTTTAAATACCGTACGATCTTTGATCCATAATTCGACCCTGTCATCAGCTTCTCGAGGAACAAGGAACATGAAATCGGTAAACTGCCTATTTTCCCAATCATTACAATGATGCCGAAACTAATCCAATTAAAAATTTCCAGGTATGTCCTTATATTGGTTAGTAGCGGTTTCGTATTGATATATCTCCATTTTTAAGTTATGTGCATTTCAAGGAACCAAAAATTTGTATAAAATCTTACATAATCAATGACTGAGGGTAATTTTAGACAATATAAAAAGAAAAATATTTAATTACCATTGTCAGTAAAAGTAGACTCGTCATCTATATCACATGACTGTTCATTCGCTTCATACATTTCTTCAACGATATCAGTTGTTTCCAATTGAAGATCTTAAATAAATGAATATATATATATATATATATTTGATTCTTAAATAATTATTAATGCAAGATCAAAAAATGCAGTGATATGCATGATGAATAAAAGCGAGTAAACTAAAATACCTTTAATGAAGAATTATGTAATATTTCTAAAATTTAGAATATATGTAAATATATTTCAGTTACCGTTGGTATTTGGGTCCTGTTCGACAACTATTTGAGGAAATGTGGGAAAAGCAAACAAGTTAACAGTTTCTCAATTTTATCTGCAAAACATTTTCCTAGCATTTGCAATTTCCTAACGCCATCTGTCGATGTGTTTCTATGATCAGTGAGCTTGTAGGGTAAGATCTCCCTGTATCGCGGGAAAGAAATTGTGATCGAGACTGGACACTTTAAGTGACATTACTTGGCTTAAAATAGAATAAACTTACTAATTCTAAATTCAAATGAAACTTGGGTATGTAGATATATATATATATATATATATATATATATATATATCAATTCTGCGACAATTATCTCTACATGCACTTCTTATTCATCATCAAACCCGAACAGAAAAGCTCTAAATGTCTTAACGTTCGTTAATAAAAATGCATTTTTTGCGTTTTTATATGCATTAACAAAATTTTGCAATTACCACTCAATGGGTTGAAAAAATTTTCAAGCAAGTATTGGAGAAATGGGTCGAGTGGTTCTGTTATTGGAGGAATACAAATAAAAATTTAAGAATTCAATTCTATAATCTTTTTGTCTCAAAACCATATAAATAATGAATTTTTAAAAAATTTAACTCAACGAATCGAATGCTTCATTAATAATATACTGATCGGATTTACCATCTTCAGAATGTTCTGGATTAAATATGGTATAAAATTATGTTCAGACGTTAATAATTAATGGATTGAAAAGAAATAGTTTAAATTTATTCGAAATTTGCATTTAAAATTTAAAACACCTAGTCTATATTAACCCGAGAAAAAATTAAATGGTTCCTTTAGGTAAGATCAATTAGTTGTTCTTCGTTCCTAAGTTCATCAAACAACTTCAAATAAAATCTAACAAAGGAAGATCGATAGAGACAATATGTACTTCCTCTTTAAAGCTCTGCACCAATATACGCCAGAGTATTTTAAAGTACTTTCTTA